CACTCCATAGCTGCTTGCTATCGCGGTATTGCTGGAGTGGCACCCCGAGGTACTTCGCGGGTAAATTTGTCCACTGAACATTCACAAAGTTACCGGGTGCGGTAGCCCAATTACCGTGCCAGAGACCTACGCTTTTGCCCCAGTTGATAGCACTACCTGTTTTCTTACAGAAGGAGGAAGCAGTGCTGATTACCTCACGAACGCTGTCTTGGTCTACACAAAAAACAGCAACGTCGTCTGCATAAGAAAGCACTTTTACTTCGCAAGAGTGTAACCTAAAACCATGTATACTATCATTGTTAATCAGTTTTAAACAAAATGGTTCCAAGTAAATTGCAAACAGCAAGGGAGACAGTGGACATCCCTGTCTTACAGAAGATCGAACCTGCACACTTTCACTGACGTTCTTATTTACAATAATGGACATCGAACAGTTTGCGTACACCATTTTTAAACCGTCTAATATCCCAGACCCGACATTAGCATGCTCCAAATTAAGAAAAAGAACCTCATGCGACACACGATCGATTGCTTTCTCCAGGTCTAGCTGCAACATAGCAACTCGTCTGTCAGAGGCATCACAATATTCTAGAATGCTCCTTACAATATGTATGTTAGTTAAAATGGTGCGGCCTTTAATACCGCAGGTCTGATGCGGTCCCACAAGGTGTTTTATAACATTTTGCAAACGTCTAGCCAGTACTTTTGTGTAAATTTTGTAGTCGACATTAGTCAGACTTATTGGCCTATAAGAGGAAACAGACAATAGTTTTACAGGGTCATCGACCTTAGGAATGAGGACAACATGGCTTTTCAAAAAGGATGGCGGTAACTTATTTATGGAATACGCTTCTGTGACTACCTCGTACAAAGCGTCCGCTGCCTCCCTCTTAAATGTTTTATAAAATTCGGCACTGAGACCATCCGGCCCGGGCGTTTTTTCCGGCAGTTAATTCGTCTATGGCATCTTCAAGCTCGCGGACGCTGATCGGCGATTCTAAACTTTCTCGAACATTCTCTTCAAGCGTGGGCATAAGCGACAAAAACTCGGTGTCAAAACCGTTATCTCTTGCTAGGCTGTGACCCATCAAATCGTTAAAATATTCAACGAACGCTCGCTCGATCGTTTTCTTATCGCGAGTTATCGTATTTCCGTAGCAAATTTCTTTTATTTCGTTTCGCTGCGCATACCTTTTCTCGTCGCTCAGTGCTCGCTTCGAAGGTCTTTCGCCCAACCATAGCCTCTGGGACCGCGCACGTACAATAGCCCCTCTGTATCTTTCACAGTCGATCACTTCAAGTTGGTTCTTGATATCCCTTATCTCTTGTACAAACTCACCCGGTTTCGCGCTTTCTTCGATCAAAAAGAAATTCAATTGGCGTCGTAGCTCTTTTTCCTTCTTCTGTTTTTGATAGTTAAGGCTAGTGCTCCTTTCAATTGCGTTAATTTTTACACCACTCCACCTTAGCTTTCTGGCGTTTCCTACCTGTCTTATTAATGCACAAGAAACGAAATGTATCCAATCGGAGGTGTTCTGGAAACACACGCCGCCGCGTGGAACGCGGTACGACGCTTAGTGTCACGTGGTACGTGCTCGTTTGTGCTCCAGAAATCCCCCCACTGTTTGTCCCGTCCCGTGTACATGTAGTATTCTTTGTTTTTTATGAGCTTTAGAGACACGGTATCATCATCATCTGCGAGAATCAAGAGCCACGTTACTGAATATACAACACGGGCAATTCACACCATCGTACGTGGTCTCCGAGGAGGATATGAACGAATATGTGCAGATGAATGAACCGTACTTAATCCATTGAATCAAAGAATCAAAGTTTTCAGGAACACGCCGAAAGCCAAAAATCGGCGAGTGGGAAGATTTCTGGAGCACAAACGAGCACGTACCACGTGACACTAAGCGTCGTACCGCGTTCCACGCGGCGGCGTGTGTTTCCAGAACACCTCCGATTGGATACATTTCGTTTCTTGTGCATTAATAAGACGGGTAGGAAACGCCAGAAAGCTAAGGTGGAGTGGTGTGGAGGTTAGCACACCTGACCGGACATTGTCCCCAGAGTTCAAATCCTGGCTCCGCCGATTTTTGGCTTTCGGCGGGTTCCTGAAAACTTTGATTCTTTGATTCAATGGATTAAGTACGTTTCATTCATTTGCACATATTCGTTCATATATATATATATATATATATATATATATATATATATATATATATATATATATATATACATGTCATTTTTATGCGTGACAGATTTTTTAGAAGGGCGTTTTTGCTGCTACGTGAATGCCGTCTTCACTATATGTATCTTGAGCTCGGCAGACATTCGATCAGTCTGGTGAGTAATACCCTAAAATTTGTTGATTAACTTTTTTAATGAAAAAAGGCATGTTTTAATTAGAAACTTGCTGAGCGTCATTCAAAACCACTAAATCAGTCATTTTCAGGACGACTTTGGGCGCGTGAGACGCACAGTAGTGCGCTAAAATGATCACTCGTGCAGCAGGTAGAAAGCTACCGGTGCGATAAGATGCCTGCGCGATTTTTCCGTCTCTTGTCATAGCCCCAGCCTTGCTGTACGAGTGGTAACTTTAGCGCACTACTCCGCTTCTCACGCGATCAAAGTATTTCTGAAAATGCACTGAATTAGTGCTTCATTCAGCAAGTTTCTAATGGGAACACTATTTCTGTTTTCACTAATTAAAAGTTAAATAACGAACTTTAGTTAATTATTCACCAGACTGTGACGGTTGTTCGCCCCTCGAATGTCTACCGATCTCAAGAAATATTAAGTGAAGACGGCTTACATGTAGCAGTAAAAACGCCGTTAAAAAAGTTGTTTCGAATGAAAAATAACACACACACTATATATATATATATATATATATATATATATATATATATATATATATATATATATATATATATATATATATATATATATATATATATATATATATATATATATATATATATATATATATATATATATATATAAAACTTCCACACTTCCACACCATCGTACGTGGTCTCCGAAGAGGGTACGTGTCGTTTACCCGCAGTCTCGGGGTTTTTACAACCATGTGCAATGTACACCAGCTCGTTTGCGCCCTTACTTTTTGTTCATATAAACGAATATGGCAGATGAATGAACCGTACTTAAACCAATGAATCAAAGAATCAAAGTTTTCAGGAACCCGCCGAAAGCCAAAAAACGGCGGAGCCAGGATTTGTACTCTGGGCCTCCCAATGTCCGGTCGGGTGTGCTAACCTCTACTCCACTCCACCTTGGCTTTCTGGCGTTTCCTACCTGTCTTATTAATGCACAAGAAACGAAATATATATTTATATCTGCGGTATTTCGCTAGATATTTGAGATCTCACTTTTCAAGTCCCGCTTGAGGAAGAAGGGTCCCCCTTCGAAACGTCACGGTTTCTGTGTAACTTATACATGTTGAATTAAACCTTCCAAGTTTCTTTGACCCTCGGTGTATATGTATATATATATATATATATAGGGTGATTCAAGTAGAGGCCAGGCTCTCTAAATCGACCGCAAAGTTCGGTTTCTTAACCTATCGCGCTATGACTTTGTGCAGCGTTGCCCACAGATGGTGCTTTTTTTCTTTTTTTTTTTTTTTAATTTGCAAAGTACGAACTTACCTGAGGAAAAAGTAAAGAAAGAAAAAGGCTTAGCTCCTATGGAAACGCAGCGGCGCCACCGGTCTTCAAACAACACGGCGCCGTTTCGCACGGGAGACAAAAGATGGCGCAACGAACGCCGCCAGCGAACGAGCATACGGCGCCGACAGCCGGCGTCTTTAGCAGACGATTTCGACTCAAAAGTGGCGCGCGTTCCGCAGGCGGCGACAGACCCAGAGACAAAAACAGGCGCGGTAACAACAAGGAACTGCAGTTCCTTGTCTGCTAAAGACGCCGGCTCTCGGCGTCGTATGCTCGTTCGTTGGCGGCAGTTGGCGTCGCGACCGCTTGCGCCATCTCTTGTCTCCCGTGCGAAACGGGGCCGTGTTCTTTGAAGATCGGTGGCTTCGCTGCGTTTCCATAGGAGCTAAGCTTTTTTCTTTCTTTACTTTTTCCTCAGGTAAGGTCGCTCTTTGCAAATTTTACAAAAAAAAATGCACCATCTGTGGGCAACGCTGCACAAAGTCGTAGCGCGATAGGTTAAGAAGCCGAATTTTGCGGTCGATTTAAAGAGCCTGGCCTCTCCTTGAATCACCCTGTATATAGTGTGGTCCAATTAAGTCACCAGGCTTGATCTAAAGTGAACCGTAAAAATCGACGCCTGAACGTAGCAATCTAAACTTTTCGTCAAAGATGTGTTTCACAGGTCGGGTTTTTCTTGAAAAATTACAAACCGTAGTTTTCTTTCTGTAAACAATAAGGCCAAGAAACTTGCCAGGGTCTACGGTGCGCAGCGACGCAGACGACAGGGGTTCAGTAGCGGGGTTCGTTTGGCGCTCATATTGATAGATGGCGCTACCTCCTTATCGCGACGGCTCGTGAACACCATGGTTTATTAAAATGTACATATAACTTTTTGAAATGTACCTTCGGTTAAAAAATAAATGCGGGCAATAGAAGTAAAACTTAAAGTAAAAAAACGCGTCTCCATAAAGGCGGCGCTTTTGCTGCCAACGGATTTTGTCTGCGTGTCGTCTGCACCTTCGGACGCTGCTCCCGACGCCATCTATCAGTACGAACGCCAAACTTCAATATATATATATATATGTGTGTGTGTGTGTGTGTGTGTGTGTGTGTGTGTGTGTGTGTGTGTGTGTGTGTGTGTGTGTGTGTGTGTGTGTGTGTGTGTGTGTGTGTGTGTGTGTGTGTGTGTGTGTGTGTGTGTGTGTGTGTGTGTGTGTGTGTGTGTGTGTGTGTGTGTGTGTGTGTGTGTGTGTATGTGTGTGTGTGTGTGTGTGTGTGTGTGTGTGCGCGCACGTGTGCATAGCTAGCTACGCCGTGGGCACAATGCCAGGGAGGTAGGTACGATCGTCCAATCACGGGTCGCCATACTATGTGCAAGTGAGCTTGAAAAAAATTCAAGTACGAACATCTTCTATTTGCAGCAAAGCACAGGAGCGATATCTATCTGCGCTGCAGCGATGGCAATGGCAACAAGTGAGTCATATTTTGCTCTTGTCAGTGAAGTGTAGCCACTTCGTGATTGTGACCTTTCTTCTGGTCTATCTCTGCATATAGTATTCCACTCCCCGTTCTTGTGGAACTGCCTCGCGATGGGTCTGACAGGAACGGTCTATACAACTCTTGTAAGTATGCCTATATTATAATTAAATGAAACAATGTCTTTGTTTTGATTTTTACTGTAGATCAGCCGCAATTGTGACAATCGAATCCTCCTCCCCTATCTTTTTGTAGCGTGGATGTTTCATGATATCTAGACATTTCTGCAATCCCAGCACGGTGTAAGAATCTGTCATCCCTAAATGGGCGACATTATCGCTTTGGCAAATGAGCAAAGCACGGTACGTGGCAGACATATTGAAGGAGACAATACATTGAAGCTCCTTGATTGAAAGCTCGAAAACCAAATCCATTATATATTTCGCTCTCGTCAGCAGGTCGGTTTGGTGAATTAAGTCAAAATGCCCCTCGGGACGGCCCCTCAGATATAATCGCTGCACAGACACGAGGACGCTAGGACATGCGATTGTGTGAACTGGTTGCTCAGATGCTCGGCAACAAACCTCGTTGACAATATTCAAGAACCGACTGTGACTAAGTGTATATAAACCAAGCTCTTCGCAGAGAGGTAGTGACGCTGCGCAGATACTTGTGTGCTCTACGTAAGCCCTCGGAAAAAGAAAAAAAAAAGTCATGAGCTAACTTTGCGTAGAGATAAAGCGGCTCGGATCACGTATGCATGGTTCAGCCCCTAATAGACCTTATTCATTATAGCAGCATCACTTGGCCTCCGCGAGAGCTCTCGAGCCTCCTCGCCATCTTTGATGCTTCCCCGCTGTCCCAGTTCTGCCTGCATTGCATTCTGTGCGCTAGATCGTATGATGTTTTTAATGCGAGCGGAGCCGGCGTCGTCTGTAACCGCGAACAACACGAGGAGCCAGCGGCAAGAAATTTCAATGAGCCGGCGGCGTCTGTAACCAAGAACAACGCCAAACTTGCTGAGCGGATATGGTGGTTGTGTTAGGTATTTCCAAATGAATAATATTAGCAAGACTGGTTCAAGTAGTGGCATTGCTTTTGTTTAGAATGACCGAAAGAACATCGACAATATAGTTGCTGGAAAAACTGCTTACGGCGCACAAAGTGACAAGCGAAGCCAGAAGTAACAATGATGCTTTAGTTGGGCATAATTGGTTCGTACCATTTAAAAGGTTAAAAGCGCGAATTGAAGCACAGACGAAATAAAAGACACACGGCAAGGACAGGCGCTACGTACAGCTGATATTAGCGAAAAACATTCACTCATCCAGTCTGTCTTTCACCATACCGATAAGACAAACCATAGGCCACATATCCGCTGTCTTATATGAAGCCATCTAAAATTCATTTCCGTATTCAGCAGAAAGAGAGACGATACAATGTGTACCGCGTAGGTACATACATATAGTACCACGTAGGTAGAGTACACTGCACGCCTCGGGTAAAGTGAACCTACCCTGTACACTTTCCGTTAAGGAATACTCTAACTCCTCGAGTGAACTTTGTTCTGAATGGCCATCTGCGATTTTGCAAACAACTTGCATTTTTGTGCCGGTTTACTTTGGCCCCTTATTATCGCCGTTTTTTTATTAACTAAAGGATAATTTGGTAAAACATATTTTTAAACTTTATCTCGAGATCTCCCTAATTTATCCCGCTAGCACAGACACTAAATTGCTCTGTGCGACAAATTCTGGCTAGTATGTTCTTTGTTTTGTTTTTAGGGAGGTCTGAGAGGCGTTGTCTGGACTGACTGCATGCAGGCCCTCGTTACAATATTTGTACCAACCACACTCGTCATCAAAACAATGTACGACTCCCAGAGTGAGGATTTCAAACCTCGTCCTCTGAGCGACATTGACTTTGGTAACTACGCCCTGGAGTAAGATCGCAGTATATTCATTTTGTTATTCAACCGCAATTTTAGAAAAATTTCGATCTATTTAATAATCCACGTTGACAGGCGTGTTACTGCGAATCCGCTCGTGTGTTATATAGGATGGTTGGTAGTCACATATATAAGAGTATAAGAAACGGAGAGGTGTGGCCATGTCCCGAGCATGTCATTATCATTCGGCAGCCAATGAGGTTGCAAGATTAGCCGATCAGATTGCTGAAGAAGGAGCTGCGAAGCAACGAACGTGAACATAATGAGCGGCGTCCTAAATTCCATAATTTTAGAATGTCTAGAGGCCAAACCGTCAAAATTAAATCATTTCAAAAGACGCTGGATCGTCGGGAAGCAATTTCTCGGATATGTTATGATATGACGTAATGAAGTAGGTCGTAGAAGGGCAGTTCTTCGCAGTTTTTTCATGGCGCACGAAAAACAAATAGTTTTTATTGTTTCGAGCGGACGATAACGACTGGGGGCGTATTAGGCTGATGCACGACAGGTCGTACGACGTGCCGCAAAGATGGCGGAACTCAACCAGACGCATGTCATTCACGCGAGGTCGTGATTGGCCAACCACTGGTTGGATTCTCCCATCCTTCCGACGCGTCGTACGACCTGTGGAGGGTTCGATAAAAATGGTTTGATGCATACTGCCCTCCCCCCCCCCCCCCCCTCCCCCACTCCCCCGAGTAATTATTGCCTGTTCGTAGCCATGAAAAAACCCCTTTGCGAGGATGCCATTTCGCGGTCAATGATAATTTCAGATATTTTTAATAGCTATTTAGGTCAACGCACAGAACTGTTCAATATGTTGCATTCTATAGTATCTTTATTTTTGTATAATCGTGTTGTGTTTTCTCCTAGCACTACTTTGGACTTCACAAAAGACGAGAATATCTGGTCCTGCCTAATTGGAGCGCTCTCGCTTCATGTGTACCGATCTGGTATCGATCAGATGGTCGTTCAAAGGTACCTGGCATCGAGGACCCTAGAAGACGCCAAATGGTATATTTAGGGGTTCAGAGTTTCGAATAAATGGGCACTTCGCAACAATTAAAGTCAAGGTCCATACGCACATTCGCGTTTGAAAGCATTTAAGATCCGTTGCGGCGTCCTTGCGGCCAGTAGCGGGCACTTGCGGCATACGACGCCCGCCATCCTGCAATGCTCAGTAGCGCGACGCAGACTCGCTCAACTTTCCAAAGCGTTGCGGTGAGTTCGACCAATCAGAAGCCGAGAAAGGAGAGGAAGGTCAAGTGGTCACTCGCGCCACTCGACGGTGCGTATCCGGTTCTCCGTTCACTCAACCTGCTTTTTCGCTTTGGGGAGCGGTGGGGAATGCGCGAACAAGTTTTTCAAAGACTGCGACGGTTCAAGCCAGACAGAGTGTCGGCGAAACCAGCGGGATTGTCCCAAGATCGACATCGACCCTGTCGCCGGGTGCCGCCATGTTGCCGTGATTTTCGTTCGCTAATGGTGAGCCGCTAGCGACGATAACTTGTTCTTATCGGCTCTTGACTGCCCTCGACTGCGTGTTAACGCAACTGCGTGTATAAGCTTGGGGCGAGCGCTCTTCGCAACGCAACTCGCCCGCTTCCTGCTAAGGAACACACCACGCTCAAACGCAAATATGCGTAGGGGCCTTCAGCGTTTCGGCTTGTCCCAGGGCTAACAAGCTAAGGGTGCCATAGAAACACCATGACACTGCCGGTCTTGTTCAGAAAGAAACTTTTGTGTTCTTCCACCGTGGTGTAGACATTTGATTGAAAGCCATGACATCTTACGACAGGATGACGCCACCGAACCGAATTTTGACTTTTTGTTACTTCGGTTAACTTGTTCCTGTGCGATTGCCACTTTTCTCAATCAAAGCATGAAATAACGGGAGTTGAGGAAAATCATGGAATATTTGAAGATGGACATCTGACAAAGAAAAGACGCAACATACTGTAACAGATTCTTCTCTATATTTTTAATAAAACAATGTAAAATGCAGACTTTCAATTAAGTTCGCATTGGAACACGCAACTAATATTGCATGGGTTGTGTATGCAGGACTGCAAGGGTTGGAATGACACTCTTTTCATTATTCCATCTGAGCCTAACAGGCATGGGAATGTTGCTCATCTACTGGTTCAGGGACTGCGACCCTATGTTATCCGGTTCCATCAAGAAACTTGAGCAGGTGGGCGATAGTTTATGTATTTAATCGTCCGCAAACTTTGCCTGCGAGAGCCGACCTTTGCGTTGCCCATTTTTACGTTTTACACGAAATGGCTGACGAAAGTTCGCACTTGGTTTCTCCGGTTGGGCTGGTCTTACAGTGGGAAGATGAGCATTGGTATAACAGGTTTTTACTTAATTTATTCTAAAATATATACTGTATATATAACGTGACCCAAGTCACCAGGCTCGATCTAAAATGGACCGTAAAAGTCGACGCCGGCACGTAGAGATTTAAACTCTTCGTCAAAGGTGTATTTCACAGGTAGGTTGTTTTGTTGTAACATTACAAAGCGTAGCTCTCTTTTTGCAAAAAATAGGGCCACGAAACTTGCCAGGGTCAACGGCGGGTGGCGACGCAGCTGACCAGGTCCAATAGCGGGGTGTGTTTGCCGTTCGTATTGACACGAACGCCAACGAGGTGTCACGCAGTGCTCACATTTCACATCAGGTCGTTATGCTGTGGGCAAAATAGAAAAGAATAAACATTTAAATTAAGCCAGAAATATTTTATTTAAATCAGACTAATATCATTATTGCTAGAAAATATTGATGATTAATCACTATATGCCTTTTTAAGCACGGCAGGTTGCTTTATCGAATTTTCCGAACAGTGAAAACAATCCGGAAAAAAGGATTACCGCAATTTAAACAACGTTTTGTTCATGAAAATGAACAAAAACAAAAAACAAAACGAAAAAATTTAACATACAAAAACAAAAACAGTTTAGTGTTTTATTAGCGAATAAGCTTTGTTGGCTGTTTTTCGCGTTCTGATTTCCCAGCAAGACAACATTGCTTTCTAAGTTTTCGTTTCCATTTTTTTGCGTTCTGATTTCATTCCAAAAAGATGCAACATAACTGACGAAGCAAATCAGAGGTAAAAATAAAGTTCAACGCATCAATTGGCTCCAAACACCACTGCGTTTTGCTCGTGTTCAGTCCGATATAAATCTTTCTTGTGTGATATGTCTTTGATGTAAATGCAAACAAATACCGATATGCGGCGCTAAATTCACCGCATCTAGGTTATATATTGCCATATAGAAAGCACCAAAGTATCAAAAAAGATTATTAAATTAAAAAATTATTTTTGCGTGTAAGGTTTGATTTATTCTGACCTAGCCGGAATAGGGGAATGACGACCTTTTTAATTTTCCGTTAAATAAGGCAAGAATTGTAACCACTGCTTCATAAATAGCAAAATGTGGAGATTTGGCGATGCGGTGTCGGTATGCTGCATAAAAGATCTTAAGATAAATTAATATCCAGGAACTACTTAAGCTGCAGCCCTCTAGACTGTTTATATGCCCTCCCCTTAGTTTCTTTTATTTAGCGTTCGATTGAAATATTTATTTTATTTTTGTCTGACAACGCCTGAAGTGTAACAGGATGTTTTTATATTTTAATAATATAATCTGCTATACTCCGTTCACCCTTAAGCTGAGATTAGAAGCTTCGCCTTCAGCGCGAGCTCGCTGGCTTCTGCTGTGCTTTGCTTGCGCGTGCACGCGCATGCACGCTTGTGTTAGCCAAAGCAGAAAGCTTGCGCTGAAGGCGGAGCTTCTTTTCAGCTTAAGGGTGAACGGAGTATTGTGAAGTGTAGAATGACCTACTGCGCATAATGCATCCCAGCATACTTCAGTTCAGTGAACATATTTCACTTGAGTGAACACTCAATTCTTAGATTCGTAGGTGAGCTTTTTTCGCATCCGTCAAAAGGCCGATGAGCTTTTCTCCTCGTCGGACAGTTTTGCGGTGGGTTCTTCTCCGGTGAGCTTTCCTGGGCCGCCCCGTATAGTTGCGATAATAATTTATGATTGTGTCCCCAGAACTAACAGTCTATTTTGTTTGGTTCTTACACTGACTCCAGATACTGCCTTTCTATGTAAAGGAGCATTTCGCTGATTTCCCGGGATTTTCCGGGCTCTTTCTCGCTGGAGTTGTCTCTGCGGCCACCAGGTACTAAGTACAACACCAGAGGAATGGATAATAAAAATTAAGCTTACTAAAGCGCGATTAGAATATGACACGCAATGAGAAACAATTATATATATCTTTTTTAAAGTCGTCTAAATCGAGATATATTAGGTGCTATGGTAACATAAAATGTCGTTGAACCTTGAAATTTACGCTGCATCATATGAAATACCCCGTTCCATCTTGGTGAGGCTTCAAGTGGCTTCATATGCGTGTCAATTATTAAAAGCTATTTTTTTAGTACAAAGCGTGCGTGTGTCCCATGAACCTTGTTATCGCTCCATTAAGATTGCAGCATTAGCGATAAGACTTCCATAGAGTGAATGGCGAACCAAGGATTCTGAACATCATAAGTCCCGCCTACTTTTCTTAAAGTGTCTGTGCCAGAAATGATCTTCTGACTCTTAGAGTATTCGCACTACCGAACAGCACTGGTTAGTTAATGTATGGAGGACTTGCAATGTGTTAAACGTGGGTTGAATTGATGGCATTGCAATAATGAACTGTAAAAACATTAAACAGACTAATTTTGTCAAGGGTACATTATATCTAGATTGCAAATATTGCAGTTTCTACCAAGAATTCGTATTGCGTAGAATTATGGTTGCCGATACTGCTAAACGCTCATAAAGAAAAGGGATTTCTTTTCTCGAACATCGTAAAACGTTTATATATCATGCATAGCATTATTATAATGAAGCATTTATATGGCTATTCATCACGGTACAAGATAGAATAAGAGTGAACAACGTCACCACATATCAAGCGCAGTTCAGACACGTCGTATTGAAATTGGTAACAGATTGTATTAAGTCTGGCAACAACAACGCCTCGTACGCAAACACATTAAAAAAAACACTATATATCATATTTAAACATGGCACATAATTCTAAGTTTTTGTAAACACAATGCAGCCGTAAAGCAAACCTTTCGTACAAAGAATGTTAAGAAAATTTTTTCGCTACTCCAACGGTGTGAAATTAATCCGCGTTCTTCCAATTCCCATAGGCGGCGCCCGGCGCGGAAGTTTTCGCTGCTCATTTTGGCAGGGGCGAGGTTCCCGTTTCTGAAGGTCACGTCTTTCCCGCTTGGTAGCATCGTCTCTTCTGGAGCTGCGAAATGTAGATAGCTTCAATTAAATGTTTTCGAACACGTCCGGTACCAGTGACGTGCCACCAGGTATGACAATCAAGACGTAGAAAATTATGTCATCACCTTTGACGAGCAGGTAAAATATATGTCTAAAACTCGGTACATATTGCAATCCGTACCCTGAAACTAGGCAGCATGCCCAAAATATTGCAAAGTATAAACAACCCAGTGTTTTCTTTGTCTTCAGTATATTAAGTTCTAGTAACACATGTTAGAGAAAAGAAATCAAAACAGTCGACAAGATGCATGCTGGACCCGACAGAACATAAGATGCCCATACGCATCTCTTGGCATTCTCTCTATGGATGAAGTTTCCAGGAATTGAGTCCATGCAGCATGAGACACTCGGAAACCTTTGTTGTTACTTGGTCGTCACTACTTATCGTAGCCATTTTGCGAAATTGGAAGAGACGCATAATTTTGAGTAACTGAAGCTAAGCAGAAATAGTGCTTTCAAAAACTGCGGTGTGAGGTCAGTGAACACAAACAGGGCCTCGTCAGCGCACGCAGCACGCAATGAGTTATGGATGTCAGGCATATTGACCCATTATTGAAATAAGACGCGTCTTTCTGTGCTTGAAATGTTAAAAAAAAAAAGAACGCTTCTGTAATTGCACAAATCTCAATTCTCTTCAAACCTTCAAACCACCGGTCTCCAAACAACAGGGCGCCATGTAGTTTGAACACCGGTGGCTTCGCTGCGTTTTCATAGGAGTTAAGCCTTTTTATATCTTTACTTTTTCCTCAGGTAAGTTCGCTCTTTGCGAATTTTATAGAAAAGACATGCCAACGTTGTACAAAATCGGAACGCGATAGGCTAAGAAACCGACTTTTGCGGTCGAGCCTGGCCGCTATTTGGGACACGCAGTAGATGCCACATTTTAATAACTTTTTCATATTAGACTAATTGTCATAACTAAACGTTACCCTATTCAAAACCTGATTTCCTGATATTTTAAATGGGAACATAACGGCCGACGAAGCCTTGAGTTCATGACGCTAGATGGCGCCAGTTACCGTAAACAGGCACAACTTTCCCATCAAAATTAAAAAAAAAAAAAAAAAGTTTTTATGAGATAACGGTTACTTTTGGAACTTTGGAATTTGTTTCGGTCCGATATCTCTATACATTTGGGCAGAGAATGAGCGTTCAGTGATGCGCAATGTAGTTTAGTGCGCAGCTCTTAGGCGCCCGTGTCCGGCTTGAGCGGCGTCGGCGTCGCCGTCAGCGTAACCGCGCGGTGCGTTATGGGACATTTCCCATGATGCAACGCGCGGGGAAGAGAGAAATGAGGGAGGAGGAGGGGAGGGGAGGTGGAAGACGAGGAAAGGGAAGGAGGGAGGAGGAAGAGAAAGAAAGAAGGGAGGAGGAGGGAGGAGGAGAGGAGCGAGGGGAGGTGGGAGAGGAGGAGCTTGAAGGGTGAGGAGGTGAGGGAGGAGGGGGACGAGGTGGAGGAAGAGGAGGGAGGAGGAGTAGCTGCGAGGTGATGAGGAGAGAGGAGGGGTATACCCCCCGCTCAAAACCCTTCCCTCCTCCTCCTCAAGATCTGCGCTCTAATTCGGCATTATAGGGTGTTGTAAACGTGTTTCATTTCTTTTTAGGGGAAAATAACTCAGTTTTGTGAGAAGAGGGCCGGGGGGGGGGGGGGGGGGGGGGGGCACGCTGCACAAAAACCAGAGAGCGTGGCTCTGGAAATTATCTTGTTTGCACAAACACTCGTGCCAGAAATCACGTTTTTATGGTGTCGCACACTCGCGCCCTTTATCACAACGCCGCATAAGCAAGAATAATAGACTGATCTCACTAAGCGTTCAGCGCGTGCGTAACGCCGCACGCGCTGAACGCCGGAAACAGACGGCAGTGCACGAGAGGGCTCGGGCCGTTTCGGTCTCTACACGCGCAGAGCTCCAGCGACGTTGTTGGGCGTGCAGAAAGACTACAGTCCTCTCCATGCATCGCGACAGCGGTGGCGTAGTCAAACTGGCTGGTGACATCGGTCTATTTTTTTCTCTAAAATACATGGCTCGCACTGACTTTATCTGCGGCCATCTTAGTAGCCCCTCTGCTGATCACGTACTTTCTGCAGCATACATTTCCTACCAACATATTGTTCTTTTTCTCAGTAGGAAGAAAAATGAGACGTCTAAAATTCCCTGTAATGCCGTATTAGAGTGCAGCTCTTGAGGAGGAGTAGAGGAGGGAACGGAGAGAAGAGCATGCCCCTCCTCCTCCTCCTCCTACGCCTCCCCTCCTCCTTCCCCCTCCCCTCCCTCCTGCCTTGTCACGTCACTCGTGAAGGCCTCGTGAAGGTTGTGATCTTCACGTGACCTTTCCTGTGAAAATCCTGACTTTCATCGTGACCTCTACGAGTGACCTTTGTGACGTCATTCGTTACCCTAGCGACCCTCCTGATGTCACACGTTACGTCAGGTGTGACGTCATTATGGGAAACGTCCCATAATGCAACGCGCAGTTACGAGTAACGTCACTCGTGACGTCACTTTCGTGATGGTCATTGTGGCGTCACTCGTGACCCTCGTGACGTCACGTGTGACGTAATTGTGGGGAACGTCCAATAATGCAACGCGCGGTTACACTGACGGCGACCCCGACGCCGCTCAAGCCGGAAACGGGCGCCTAAAAGCTGTGCCCTAAAAGTCGCAATTATCACCAGTATGATGTGATGACGTCACGTGGAAGTCATTTTTCCGACGGTGGTATTTCGCGAAGTCTCAAGCACAAGCCGAGGGCCACTGTAGTCTATATTCGAAATATTGTCGCATCTCTATGTCCTTCTCTTTGCTATAGTGAGTCTCACAGTATCGTAATCTTTCAAAAAATTATTCGATTACCGTATTTGCCTAGAGATCTATTACGTGAGCCATGATCAGGGTTGTAAAAGTTACTTCAAAACTGTACCTAACGTACAGTTACAGTTACTCATACGAAAATGTACCTAGGTGCGTATCTAGCTACTCGCTTAAAAATGTACCTAGGTACAGGTACAGCTTCTTCAAAGGTACTTTTTATTTTCACGTCAAGTATTTTTAAATCCTTTGTATACTGGGATGTACACAAAAACAAGTTTGATAAACGTGCTTTATTGGTGTCAATGGGAGAAATAAGGCAAAACGCTCTCACCAGAGCATTCGAAGACTTTGTCTTTTTCACTTGAGTGCTCGATTTGACCTCAGAATCAGGACTTCTTCGAAATGTTCATCCGACATCTACGATCGCAGTTTGGTAGCAATTGTCCCTCCTGTGCTAAAAACGCGCTCCACCGCCGCACTGCTTGGAAGCCCTGTGTTGAATCTTAAGAAGACGCTTTTTAGCAGCGGCATGTGCTTGGGACAGTACAGACTTCTTGTCGGAGCAAGTTCGGTGTACTGTACAAACTCCTGCTCCCATGAAGCAGATGAGGACGATGTTTCGCAGTTAAAGAAGTGCTCACAGTCTTCTTCATCCTCACCACCTTGTTCGCCTGACGACGCTTTTTCTATAGTTGATGTTCGCATAAGTTCGCTCTTTAGATAATCCCAGGCCCGCTTTCGTTCCACTTCGTTGTCTATCCATGCAACCTTAAATTTTGGATGGCATACGGCAGATATTATCAAATTTTCTTCTTCCTCCATACCTGCAAACCTCTTGTTGATCGCCGCGATTAAGCTCTCGACCACCGGGAGGCAGTACCTCAAGTTCTCCGTCAGCAACGCGAACATTTTTTTGCGAAGTGAAGCCACTGTAGGCAGGAGATATGCCATGAACATGCTGTTTTCGCGCCGGAGAAGAGTTATGGCTTGTGCGAGAGGTGTAAACACCTGAACATACTCATCAATAAAGTCAATGTCTGGCTTCGTGAATCGCGGAATTTTAAAATTCTCGCAAACTTCCTTCAAACTTTCACTTGACAAACTAATTCATTCGCCTTAAAGAAAAATTCGAAGAATTTACGCAGGATCGCACCCACGACCCCTCGGTTGCGAACCAGACACGCTACCGACTAGGCAACGGAGGGCTTGGAAATGGCACTGCGATCCTGCCATCATTAGAGTGCCTCGATGTCTGTGTCAGCGTAAAGGCATTATCGCATCGAGTGTTGTTAGCGCGTGCCGAGCAAACACATAAATAACATCTAAGATGTTTATGTCCGTTTGAGAGAAGGCGTAAGTGAAGTTAATGTTCTGGTGTATAGAATTGAAACAATCTACGAAATCCAGCAGTCTCTCCTCGTTGTGTGTCCAGATAAGAAAGATATCATCTATGTATCTTTTGTAGAAAGTTGGCGTTAGGGGAAAATCAGAAAGAAATTTGGACTCTAGCTTTCCCAAATACGTTGGCATAACTGGGGGCCATTTTAGTGCCCATAGCGGTTCCGCTGACTTGCCTAAAATATTCATTATTAAATTCCAATGCATTAAATTCTAGGACCAGCCTCGTTAAACAGGAAATGACGTGACAATCCGGGGTATCTGGTTTCTTATGAAGTTCGTAGATGTCAATTAGAGCAGCTATTCCGTCGTCGTGGGGAATGTTAGTGTAAAGAGAAGAAACATCAAAAGTGACCAGATATGCTCGTACGCGCATATCCGAGATTTCTCCTAGAAACTGAGCGGTGTCTTTGACATACGAATAGAGAGTTGTAGGAATATTGCTTATTAATTTGTCTCTAAAGCCGGATATAGGTTCGGTTATTGTACCTATGCCTGATATAATTGAGCGCCCTGGGTTACCATTTTTATGAATTTTAGGAAGCATGCAGAAGCGGCCTGGTCTTGGATTTAGTGGTTTCATCACATTATGTTCGTTAAGGGTTATGTTTCTTGTGTTCAAGAGATCTTTCAGTTTTGACGTTACAATGCGTGAGTAGTGAATCGTTGGATCCCCCTCAAGACGCTCATATAATTTTGGGTCATTAAGTTGGCGGTATGCTTCTCGAATGGAGTCGACAGTGTTGAGGATCACAATTGCTTCCCCTTTATAAGCTGGCTTTATCGTTATATTGGTCCTGGTTACCAGAGTTTTCAGGCAATCTCTTTCCGATTTTGTTAAGTTGTACCGTTTTCCTTTCTGCTTATGGTATTCTCGCATTATGTCTCTTTGTACAGCGGCTATGTAAAGATCGAGGCAGCCATTGCGATGAGCTTTCGGCGTCCAATTGCTCTTTGGACGTTGTTGTGTGTTCTGGGAGTTTGAAGGCCTTTCTAAGAAGTATTCTCGCAATCGTAAATTTCTTGCAAAATTATCAAGGTCTCGGAGTTACTGGAATTCGTTAAAGAAGCCTGTTGCTGGGCAAAAGTTTAGCCCTTTTGAGAGCAATTTTTCTTCGTCAGATGATAAGGTATTTCAGATAAGTTAACGATTACGGTGTCACAAGGTTCGGTGATGTTCTGTTCATCGGCTGTTTGTTGTCTTGGCGGTTGAATATTGCTACTATATTTATATGGCACCAGCGCAGGTAGTGTGGGGTTGGGGACCTTGTCTCGCTGGAGCTTACGTAGTTTGGTGGTTATATATATATATATATATATATATATATATCTTCCGACGAAAGGCGCATTCTGTAATTATATCTACCGTAATAAATACTTCTTTAAGTGTACAACCCCAATTTATTGTTTCAGAATTTGACACTAAGCTACAGCAATTACTGGTATTGCAAGTGACTAAAACGTCGCCCTTCGATTCAGAAAAACAATTGAACTTTGGTAAACAATTTAAAATTTAGTTGCACCTAGTGGTTTTAGATCGATGCATCTAAGTAGGAAAAAAAACGTAATTTCTTGTTTGTTTGTTTTTATTTAAAAATAAAAGGGCGTTGTACAAATAATAAAAAAAAATATCAATTTATTTCACTGCGGATAAAGTGCCTATTACCAAAAAAAAATGGTGGAAAATGTGTTCAACTTTTAGCGGTTCGAACCGTTTTTGCTTTCCGGAGCCGAACCGGAACTAAACCACAAGACGTGAACCCAAGTCCGAACCGTACCGATAAAAATATCGTTTTGACACTCTGCTTTTCAGTGACCTCTAATGTATCGGTCTACCACAATACCTCTTTTTTAGTCAGATTAAAAATTTTAGATACTTGGAATAGTATCTGACACAAAAATACGCGAAAGTGATAGGCGCATCTGAGAGCGTGTGGCTCCCAACAGTGCGTTTAGGTCTTTTATAAACTTGCTCAATAGAAAAATGCTATTGACACAGATAATACTACTAATTCGTGGAACGTTGAGACTAGGGCACTGTAACCTGATATTTTGATTCATAAACACTTCAAGCATAGTTTAAAAAGGGTGCGGAATTTTTTTTTCCAACTTATTGTGCTTTTTTTTATTAAAAATGAAATTTTGTATTACTTTAATTTTCATGCGTATGTTAATAGTAATGGGTGTTTAGCGGCACTTCTGCTAATATGTGCAGGAGGTATTTTAATTAAAATAAAAAAAATGAAATAAAAACTTTGTTCCTTTTTTTTTGCACTTGCTGTTGGAATTATTATTAATTCGGACACCAAGTTATGGAATACCGTCATAATCAGCTGTTGTTGGATGAAACGGAAATGTAAAACGATTCAACCACCAACTTCAAAGAATACCTGTTGACACACAAAACACGATCACTAATAAACAACAAGGTGACGGTGTCAAAGGTCGAGATCGTCCAGCTAACCAAAACGCGACCTTATACAATAAGCCGTGTCCTCAATGAGAAACTGCGTCAAAACGCAATACAATACCCCCCCCCCCCCCTAATACGTACCTAATGTGCCGTACTGGTTTTAAATAGGGGCGTTTATGGAAAATCATAATCAGCACACTCAATATTCATTTATTTGTTTTATATTCAATTGGAAGACATCAAACACCAGACTTTCGATATAATGACGTGTACACATATCGTTGAAACACATGCACAACTGGTTGGATCCTCATACCATGTTTAGCACACTCTGCGATTCCAGAGCAAAGTGCCATCCTATAAATTCCTAGGTAAAAAGGCCTATGTAGTAAAGAGTATAGATTTATATGAATGTGTCCGGTTATCATCCAAGAACATATAAGTAGATAAAAATTACATAGTTTTACGTAATTTTTACAAGGTATGATATGTTTACTGGACAAAACCTATGAGAAAATGTCCTCTTTTCAAAACTGTAGTTCACGGGTTAATGGTCTGCCGGAATGCCGCAAGTGAAGAAGGCTTATAGAGATTAAAGCCTGTCCAAGATTGACGAACTTGTTCATATCTCTTTATTTGGTGTGTAGAAGGGAGCTTCATCGATTAGGCATATAAATTTCCGAAATTTAAATTTCCAATTAGAATCCTGCAATGCTTCTTTGCGTGCTTTGTGTGAATGTGCAGATCCAATTTACCATTACCATATTAGCTGACTGAAATATTTAAATTACAGCACAATATCGTCCATCATTAATTCACAAGCCGCTGTACTCTATACTTACGTTGTGTCGCAGTATTTTACGCTGACCGAACTTCAAGCCACGAGGGTGACGAGATGCCTCGGTATGAAGCTTTCTTGCACACATCAACCTGTGTGTCATTCCTTTGACAATGACTATCTCCTGGTCCTTTTTATACAAACAGCGCTTGCAACCGGCACCGTCATGACGTTTTACAGCGCTGCTATACCTTATATGGGCCCTGCAAGCAGGGTAAGTTACGTTTTCACTGCAACTAAGAACATAAACCGAGCGAGGACACACTATCCTCTATCCACAACAAAAGGTATTTTTATACGAATTTCTCAAGTTAAAAAGTTTCTGCCTTTTGACATATAACGACGTTAAAAACGGCGCAAAAAGACAACGAACTGGGTGAGGGAAGACACAGACAGTGCGCTGACTCGCAACTCCTTTTAGAGAACTACTGATCAATGATTGTATTACCACTTTAAATGTGTTTGGTACTGAAAGTTTTGTAATATTTAGAGCCAAGGTCAAAAAGTTTTTAGCTTGTTATTTTTTGCAAGTGCATGTCTGGATATTCAATACCCCAGTGCTCTATGCTACACTTCTCTATTCAACGGTGTTGTCTTCACGAGCAACTTGCTTTACTTATCAATAGCCTAGTGGCTATAATTACATCCTTGCCACTTTATATAGCTCCCATATAAATTCTAGAAAAACATTATGTCTCTTCAGATATTCATGATGGTGTACAACGCCGTTACTGGACCTTTCGTCGGTCTCTTTCTGATGGCGCTCATTTTTCCATGCGTCAATAGTAAGGTAAGTGATAAAATGCATATAAGACATGCCATTTAATATCATTATCGTGATCATTATCACCATCATCATCATTCATTATCCTTGAATGCCCTTACTGGCATTACCCAAGGGACCGGTACATTTGTTGTTGTTTCTTAACCGAACATTTTGGCACGCAGTTTTAACACAGTAGAAGAAGGACTTACTAGGATAAAGCAGATATGAAAGGGGTGACAGAGGCAGCAAATGTATGTGTGTCAGTTATGGTAACAACGTCGTTTGGTAGTATGTTTTATTCGTTGATGGCCAAGGGTAAATTTCAATTACACTATGAAGCAGCTGATGATAAAATGGGCAGCAACTAGGAATGGTCAAAGCGAGGGAAAATCTGCCACGGAGGTAAAAGCAGCGATTCACGAAGAGGCATGTTACGGTGAAAGGTAAAGTGAAGGAGGGAGAGACGAGACACTCGGCGCCTTATTAATGAAGGAATTTGAAGGTCAGCAGTTCCCCGCAATTCAGATATCCTATTGAATGATGAGTAATAAAAATAAATAAATAATAAACACAGTGCTCTGTTTTTGATGGATTCAAGTTTTATAACTAGAAAAGATTGTCACAAGCAAATTCAAGCTTAGACCAAACTTAAGTTAAGTATTCTAGGTGTTTTATTTCTGGTGTTGCGGGTTTCAGGTTTCGGGACAAAAGCCGATGGAACAGTTTTTTTTTGTGCTACTATATTATTTAAGGTCTCCTATATAATCTTATTTAATCATATGCGTTTATTGGATCAAGAATTTTTTATACATACATATAATGCTTTTTACTAGGGTTAGGACTAGCTCCGCAGCAGCGCTTCCTGTCATAAGCCGTTGCAAGAGGCTTAAAAAGTGGTCTTGTCTCATCCGCTCCCACTGGGTTGCACGTGTGTTAACGGGCCTTAACATTTTAGATGGATAGATGGATGGTCGATGGTAATGGCTGTGCCCTTTGTAAGGGGCAGCAGCTTGAGCCACCTAGCCAAACATTTCATCCTCCCTTCTTTTTTAAAGTTTGTATAAATTTTGTTCTAACACAACCCTCCCCCCTCCCCTTTAAAGTGTTCCCATTTCTTATGTGTATCTGTATTTTCACCCTTCCCCAGATCTTTTCCTCTAATCTTCCAATATCGTCTTAGTTTCAGCAATTCTTTCCCTATCCATTCGTCCATCCATGTCCGCAAATCCCAGCGTCACCTCCAAAGCCATAGTCATCCCCCACCCAAAGGGTGGGACGAAGCCCCGTGCACCTTAAAAATGCATGTCCTTTGGTTTCCCTTTAGCGGTTGCATACGTCGCACAGTGTCTATTTCCTGGAATTCAGTCCTATATGTTTACTCTCTTATCACCCCCGTTCTAGCTTCAAACAGCAATGAGCTCCCCAATAAATTATGATAAAACAGTTCCTTCTTTATTGCTTTTGTGTCCTGTATATTGTTAATGCTGATTTCCCCTGCATTCTGTCTTCTCGCAATTTCCTTTCAGCTTCCTTTACTCTTTTTCTACTGATATGCTCTGATCGGCCCCATCTCGTTGAATGTATTTAGATCTCAACTTTCGGGTTCGATTTGTCCATTTAGTGTTTATATTTTTCATATTGATACTTGAATACCATTCCCTGCCCACCATATATCCTCAATTTCAGCTAGTCTTTGTTCTAAGTTTTCTTTACTGATCGCTTTTTTACTCTCGAGAGATGCCTAACCCATACCCCCTGTACCCTCTCATTTGGTGTATTCCCATGTGCCCCCGATGCCAACCTACCCACACTTCTTTGCCGTATCTCTAAACCTGGCGGGATTTCTGACCTCATACACAATACCGCATTCCCAAATGACCACTCCTGGCACCATAACTCCCTTCCATACGCCCCTAACGACTTCATATATATTTAAGTTTCAGCGCGTCCTGTCTTTCATATTAGCTGAATCTCGTTTCCCCTTCTTTATTAAAATATCTTCATGTTCTATTAGATACCCTTTCTTCCCTCATTTTATCATACTCCCGAATATGTTTACTATTCTACGTTTTCTATCACTGTGTCCTGTATCTCCAAGTGTTACCTCTTCTCGTCGTTGATAGCTATTATATCCGACTTGTGCCCACTGGAATTTAGGCCTAAACTGTCCCCTTCTTTGCTGCAAATCCTAATTAGTTCTTGTATTGTCTCACGACTCTTTGATACGAGTACAATGTCGTCTGCATACATTAACCCTTGAAATACTCGATTTTTTTTTCTTCCTCCATGTAACTCAGGTCAAAACCTAGGTTGCACTACTCTAATATTTTTTTCCATCTTACTGAGGTATATCATAAAGAGCAGGAGAGACAATGGGCAACCCAGTCTGTCCTCTTTTTATTGCTGCTGGTCTTGTAGTTTCGGCCTTCCCATGTTATAACAACCCTATTCTCCGTATATTCCTGTTCTAGAAACTTGACCATGCTTCCCCTATCCCATAGCCCTTCAGTTGGTCCTAGAGTCTTTCCTGATTTACATTGTCATATATCCCTTGACGTCCAAAAATGCTACCCATAATGGCCTTTGACTTGTCATTGTTATCTCTATGCACTGAGTGATTACGAATAAGTTATCATATAGTCGTCTATCCATCCTGAAACAGTTTTCAAGCTCCCCCAGAATCTGCTTTCTCTCTTCCAATTCTTTCATTCTTCTTTTTACAATTTGCATAGCTAGTCTGTATATTACTGAAGTTACTGTGATTGGCCGGTATAATTTGACACTGTCTTTGCCTCCCTTTCCCTTACATAATAATATCATCCTGCTCGATTTCGAGTCACTGGGTGCCTCCCCTCCCATAATTATCTGGTCAATCACCTCCCTCAGTTTCAATTTGCTTGTTTTGCCTAGAATTTTATCAGTCTTATTGGTATTCCATTTGGACCTGTCGAAGTTCCAGCCGGAACCTTTCCTTCTGCTTTTTCCCCATTCCCCTGTAGTCATTTCATCTTCACTGTGGTCCCCCTTTTGTGTTATGTAGACGCTTCCCTAAGGCCTTATCCGGTTCTAACTCCGAAAATGCTGCTTCGATTGTATGTCAAATGTATGTTCTTTCTCTTTCCCCTCTACCTTTGTCCCTTCCTGTGTGGTTAATGTCTGCTGGTATCCCTCGGTCTTTTTTCCCTGTGCACTGATTTGTTCCCAGAACCTTTTGGACGCACTCCTATCATTCCGGTTTATATCTATCATCCACTGGACCCCTACCCTCCCAATTTTGGCCTGTATTAATGCTGATGTCTCCCGCTTTCTTTTCGGAGAGTCTTCCCATTTTGATGCTACTTTGGCTGGTGTGGCCCCCTTTATCTTTGCCCAATTGTGTTCTCTAGATGCCTCTTGGTGTCGCGATATTGCTTCCTTAACCTCTTTCTCCCACCAGCTTTTTAGCTTGAGTTTTAGTTTTCTTCCTCCTTGTTTGATTCGATATTCCTGTCTTTGTTGAAAACACTAAGTCTTCATCTCTCCATTCTCTTTCCGGTTGTTTGGATACAAATTTCTCGATTCGCTTAGATACCTCCAGTCATTTAAGTTATACCCTCTTGCTTTTGATTTCGCATTTCTGGTTGTACTGTGCCAGATCTGATCTTGATTCTCTTGTTGTCGCTCCTCAGACTTTTTGTGCCTTCCTCGTCTATTTCCATACCTCCTAATCTGTTGTATAGCTTCCGCGACCTTAAACAGCAGTCAATAGTCGAGTGCGAGTTCTTTGTCTCACTCTTTATTTTTCCATCACATTTTACCTGAGCATTAACCAATACCAAATCAAGAGCTTCGCAGAACTCCTCTAACATCCTTCCTGTTGTATCCGTTTGTCCATCAAAGTCTTCCAAATGCGCATTCATATCCACCAAGATAATCATTTCCCTGTTAGTGTCCATTTCCCTAATGTCTCTAGATATACATGTTAAGTATTCTGAGTTTTTCTCTACTGCATCACTCCCTATTTCTAGATACACAAAACCCAGGATTGTGTCCAAACTCCCCATAGAGGCTGCAAGGGCGGTGTCGATGCTATAGATGCTGTTGTTGATCAAGCGAGGTTTTCGACGGTGGGGCAAATCAAGTCCGTGGATGACAACAAAGCAGGGGCAGGGCACACGTGTCGATTAACAGCACGCTGACTTTCATTACCTTAGACATCTAAAATTCTTCCCGCTAAAACAGGGGAAATAATAAACAATCGAATGAATCTTGAACCCCAAGCGTAAGACTGGATACTTCCATGAAATAACTCTTAAGTGTGAAAACCAGACAAGCTATTATACCTCTTTCGAGGACTTGCCACGCAAAACAACCCCGTGAAGATAAGTTACAATTTGCCCAAACGCTTTGTAAGCCTTATTGCTTAAAGATTTTATATTTAAAACGGTCACAATATTCGATGATATACAGGAGTTTCTGAGTTTTTATGTCGGTTTTTGCTTCTGTGATTGTTACTAATGTTCCTTTTTTTGGACTAGTGAGGGGTTTAATAAATTGTCTTGCTTGTATCTTAGAGTCAGTGTCGAGTTTTATGAATCATATATCATTTCCGAAAATTGGAAACTGAAGGATATTGTAATTTAGATATTCGTCTTATCTCAAATTAGGTACAAATTCAAATTCCAGGGTGCCGGAACAGCAACAGTGCTGGCGATCGCCTTCGAATCCTGGCTCATGTACAATAAGTTTCTCATGGATGTTCGGCCTCAACGGATTCCGGTTACACTTGACAACTGCCCAGGAAACCACACTACATCCCTAACAGGAACAAGCAACGAAACTTTCGTTTCAACGCCAAATGTGTAAGACCCGCTATGAACACATGCTTATAAATCTGGGCAATTAAATGCTGTGTGGTGTCACGAAGTGATTTGCTGTAAAAATTCACGCAGAACAAATTAACCTAAATTCTTATATTCAAATTTCTTGAGGTGCAAGATCACCAAAAAAAATCGAGAGAGTGAAGGTGCTAATAGAACCTAAATTAATATCAAAATTTAACCTATCCAGCCAATTAACTTGACAAACAATCCCCTTCAGGCCTATGAGCTACAGCATCCTTCGCTATGAATTTACGCATGTTTTAAAATTCTAGTTTTTAATATGTTTCTGTTTTGTAAATTTTGTGACCAACATCTTTATTTTACCACGCTAGTTATAGGAACTAACAAGCAATAAGCAATAACTGCACTTTTGTTACCGGGGGCAAAAAATACTAGTGTTACTGAGCAGTCAAAAACGTAGTCGTAAATTGCATCAATAACGGGGTAAACATTTATATCACTTACATACATACATACATACATACATACATTTTATTGACTCAGTGGGACTATTAAAGACATACGTTTACGGGCACATCAAAGCCAGCGAAGGGCTTGTGGGATGACACCCTAAAAAAAAATTAGAAAAGTCCACTTAAGTGATAAGGTAAAGGTTTTGCCTTCAAAATGAGAACTGAAAGATAATAAAACTTTCCCCACCCCCTTCCCCGCCCCAACCCCCTTTCCCCCCTCCCCCTCCCCCTTTCCCGATTGTAGCACAGAGTACTAATTACAGAAAAAAAATACAGCATACGAAAGCAATGTACAAATGAATGTAACAACGTAAATAGAATGAACACTTACAGACGCGAGTCCCAAATAAAGGGTAACACAATGCACGGAGACCAAAAATAAAATAGAAAAGAAGAGGCAACATTTCGAATCTGCGGTAGCTATAGCAGCCAGCACATCAGGATCGTCATAAACGCACACGGAGCAGGCACTAAATACTATCAAGGTTAAGACACTTGAGTTCTTTTTTTAGAGTTTTCAGTGATGTGATATCATAAATATAGTCCGGGAGGGCGTTGAAGACACGTGGCACATAAGCAATATTACAACTTGCTCACGTCAAACTAATTATAAATTACAATTTTATTATCGCATTCATTGCAGATTTAATGATCCACAAAAATGTTTACAGTTTGAATCTACTTTTTTAATGTCCTTTTTCATTTTTTTATGGAACTTCTTTTATCATACTAAAGTACCAATAAGCCAAACTCTAAAACAAATATTCAATTTTGTTTCAATTGTACATGATGAAGGGGCATCTTAACTCTATCAGGGGAATAGCCATTTATAAAAATGCCCTACAGTCCGCAGGATATCTTCATCATTTTGAAGTTGTCATCCTACTGGAGTAACTCAATCAGCACGATTCTCACCATTTTACTGGGACTGGCAATCAGTGCCTTAACAGGTATGATATTCCTACAAGTGTACTAAGGCGATGCGTGTGCGTTTTAATTCATACATTTGAGAATCAAAACATACACCATAATTCAGAAAAATTAAGTCTGTTTATTAGCAATTAAATGTGTCCTAACAGCTGTAAAATATGTTTAGAGGAGCCAAAACATTACTCTGTTGCGCCATTTTGTCTGGACTTTTTTTTTTTACTATACCTAAAGTGAAAAGTAATAAATATACTCTAGGCATAACGTCACCAGTGCTTAAATTACATTCGGAAGACGTCGCTGAATGGCGCTGTGCTGCTGCGTATCAAACTGCATCGATATTTAAATAAATCATTCAAAATTGTCGCACTAATTTAATAACTAATTAGCTTTGTGTTAACACCATTGGTTTAAGTAACAATTAAATGTAGTTATTTTAGAAATAAAGCGAGACTGATCCAAATACAGTGTGTTAAAGTACTGTGTTATATATATCTAATGTGTTTTGACAGCTGCCGTCAGATTTTATTGTCTTGATCTTATATTTCTGATGTTTGCGTTTTTTTTATTAATTTGATAAGGTGGTCTAAAAAATTCCTCAAAGATGGAGCACTTGACTAGTGATGTTTTCCTACGCCTCTGGAGATGGATGAAATTAATCTCTCCGGCAGATGTCGCAGTGGTATGTGGTAATGGCTTCTTCATTAAATCAATTCTTCCCGCGGTATTGTCACCTATCGGGAGACGAAAATGAGACCTAATGAAGCATTGATTCGTTTATGTAATGAAACAAACGCAGTACAATTCATGACAGTGTATTAATCACTGTGATACACCATCTTAACTATGCTATTCACCCATATATGGTGCAGGTAAATAAATATGTATTGGTATAAACCGAGCTGTCGTATTTCAGTTAAAATATTATTTCGTGTTTCACACAGTAATACAGATCAAGGAATCGTAGATATGCTAAAACAAGTTCTACATAAATTAAAAATAATTCTAAGAAGGTACTTGATATAAATAAACCATTCCCTCTGGATAATGTTATTGACTGCGGTTGAGTTCAGGTTATGAGGATACTTAGAAAATAATTACCTCAAATCCACGAATAAACTTTTGAACCAGCAGAGGTTTTTTACCTGTTGTTAAAGTATCCCAAGTTTGTTTTTATTATTGCGGGAAGCTCACGCCAGCAAAACAAAAAAGAAATGCTCAAAGTGCTGTGTTTCTTAGAGTGCCTGCTAGACTCGCAAGGATTACAAGGTGGGTCGTCACCACACTGTACAGCGCAGGAAAATTTAAATGTTGATTATGGCATAACCTTCATTTGCCATTTTTTAAAATGCTATTTTGAATTTAGAGATAATAAATAGCATACCGGGAATTCCAAAAGTGTGTTTAGTTTTGGGTAGCTCAACTATCAGCCGGAGCCTTGAATGCGAGAGCTGTCCCCTTTTCTATTTCAGAAAATTTCATCAGATCGTCACCTGCGCGAGGAGGCGTCGACGGACTTCAGCCCTGAAGAAACGTGGGAGCTGACAAGAGAAACAAAAGTTTAAATAAAACCGGACGATAGGTCTAAATATCTGTACTAAAAACTGCCGTAAAGTCACACGTGAATTGCATCAAACTTTACGGCACCGTATATGGATTTGCACCGGAAAATGACCTTAGTAGAGCCAAACGGCTGTATAACAGCACAGCGCACAACACTACTCTATTTCACCTTATGGTGTACCGCAGGGAAGGCTACAAGCACGAGCTCCCTGCACTGGAGCAGATCTCGGCGGCACAAGCTCTCGTGCATTAAGGGCAGCTGCCAACGTTACGAACTCGCGCTTCTAGCCTTCGCTGCGGTACAACCTATAGGTGAAACGGAGTATAGGCTAGCAACGACGAGAGAGCACGCGACAGGAGAGCGCGTATCATTAGAGCGCGTGCCACGAGAGCACATGTGCGTACCTTGGGAATGATAGAGATTAGGGTCCTCAAATGCATGTATTCAGAGAGTTAAAATTTTGACACCAAAAGGAGTCGCATTTCGAACGCGCACATCTTTCGGAAGTCTAAAAGATACAATGGTCGCAAACTTGAAATGCAGAAGCAAGATACAAAGTTTTGGAGATATAGTTGTTTATTGATTACCTTTCTATGAGGACTGTGAAACACCGCGGAGGTGGTCTAGCATGCGCCTTTGGTCGTACTCTTCAACTAGCTTCCTCAGAATCTTCGCTACACGAGCGTAGGTGGCCTTGCTGCTTCTTTGAGGCTTTTCACAAAGTACATGCGCCAGTTTCTGCCCTCTAAAGCTCGGCTCTTTTTAGAAGGCGGCCGCTAGCTTGTACGTGTCCGGATGATGCAGCTTCCGGGACGCATTGCGCCAGGACTCGACGGGATTGTTATCCTCGGCAGCACTTCGGAGATTCGTTCGTAGCAGCTCCAGAAGTCATGCGAGAAAAGTTGTGGCCTCCACGAGCGACTCCTTTTGATGCTGACACCCACGTTTACGCTCTTGAAGTACTGGAACATTTGATTGAGCGGAGCTCTTCGAGTCCTGGGCAAAAACAAACGCAAAATGCGCCGCAAAAGCACAAAAGAACCAAGCGCGACGGAAATCAATCTCGCACGAACTTTATCTAAGGTTCGCTTAATAAAATAAGTAATCGAAAATTCCTTTACCTTGCGCAATGTCTCCAGGTCGAACAAACGCCAGTGCTGGTACCATGCTTACTCTCCTGCAGAAGTCCCCGTCTTCATGATATCTGTGTAAAAGAATAAAGAGTTCAGAGCTCCTAACGTGTTTTGACTTCTATACCTGACGGTGAGGTTCTCCGCCTGCATCCGGCGAACAAACGACAGTTTTAAGTGAAAGAAGCACACCTTTACTTTGACTGTCGGGAACACCAACTGAAAATTTCGCTCGCCTCCACTTCAAAATTCATCATCAACGTCTGGGGTGCCAGTCGGGGGCAACGACCCTCGAGTGTCCTGTAAACGGGACCATAGGCTTCCTGGCACCATTTGGTGATGACGCAGTAGACTAGAGGCAACACCTTGCCTTGAACTAGTCCGTGGATCGCATACACCTGCAAAGTAAGAACGTACTATATTTGTAGCGAATCCCGGACAAAAGCTCACCGGACAAAAGCTCACCGGACAGAAGCTCACCGGACAAAAGCTCACCGGACAAAAGCTCACCCATTTTTTCACAGACCCGGACAAAAGCTCACCCATATTTTCACAGACCCGGACAAAAGCTCACCACGAGAAAATTTCATGTTGGTCTTAACACGAGTGCGGACAACTTAGGTGCATGCGTGCGACACAAAAAGGCAACGATAAATTAAATCTCACAGGCGCATGGTTTGTTGATTTCAGTAGAAACAAGTTTATTTATCGATTGGTTAGAAGCGAATGCAGTGCCCCACTAGCTCCAGCAGTCTTGGTAGATCTCGATGTACATGCAAGCCCTCGCAAATATTTCTAAGACGATTCTGCAGGTGCAGAGTAATTTTTCGCACCCGCTTTACGGTGGGCTCACCTCTCCGGGCTTTTGTCAATGCCGTGGCAACGAGCGCCTGATTTTGCTGTAGGCATTCAATCAGCCTCAAAAGGCTTGGATGAGCGTGGCCGACGGGCTTCTGGAACCCGGTACTCTATCTTTTGCAGGTGTTGCTCATCCGGTCTTTATCTTGAAGAGTGGTGTCGTACATATTCCACCGTACCGGGGGAAACTCCGGTCGCCGTCGGCGCAGAATCAGGCGAAGGGAAGAATTCGCTCTGGGTGCCGCCACAGATGGAACAGAAGCATAACGGAAGCGGCCGATGAAATACGTGCAATCAAAATAGTCCAGTAGGTAGCTATGTCACCGGTAGACTTTTCCCTGGTGATCAGTTCTTGTGGAACAAGCTGTGGTGGAAGGAACCCAAGCCTATCTAAAATCCCGCACAATTGTTTTTTAAATTGGTCAACTGTCTTGTACTTTTCCAAAAGGCCGAACTCCAGTTCTTTCAAAGTATTTTTAAAAAATTCTCAACTCAATGGTGGATGATTTACAAGTTCTCCTAAAAATGGTCCAATGTCCATTGCGTCCGCACTTTATTTCAGCCCGTGTTTCGCCCGGATAGTAAAAAAAAAAAAAAAAGAAATCGAGGTGAGCTTTTGTCCGTGTCTGTCAAAAAACGGGTGAGCTTTTGTCCGGTGAGCTTTTGTCCGGTGAGCTTCTGTCCGGTGAGCTTTTGTCTGGTGAGCTTTTGTCCGGTTACCATTTGTAGCGACATAATGAGAAAGAAGTGCCTCGCTGTAGCTACATAAAAATCTGTAAAAGTGTGTAAAACCGCCAGATATGATACATGTAAAGGTATAGCAACATAGGCGTGCTTCGCACTTGATGGAAGAGCGACGGCGAGACGTGAAAAATGCCTTCGGCGAACCAGTCAGTATACTGGCTGAGGAGTCAAAAGTTCTCGTCGTTCGCCAACATGGAGATGGTCCTTTTCTTGTGAACCGGAGTCATATAGCAAGAAGGATAGCCCGTCTGGAAAGGATTCAAGCCAGCTGTGGCAGTTGGTTACCTGAGTGTGCTGTGGAGCTGGCAGCGGCATGTTGAAGGCGCGGCGTGGCCTCTGTGCCAAACGGGTCAAGGCGCTTACCGAGGGAAGCTGCAGCCGCTCAGAACCTAAAATTAAAATCGACAATTCCACTCAGTTAAGAACAGCACAACAGAAAAGTATTTGAGATTTTTGGAGAGAGATGGAGAGAGAGAGAGATAGTAAAACTACATTTTATACTATTTATTAGGTCGCCGTCTATAAATTCATAGCGCTTCTTGGGATGAGCAAATGACCGCGACTATCTAGAGCAGATCCAAAGAATCGTGATGTTTATTTAGGATTCTGGTGGAGACATCTCTACTTACTTGTTATTTCGCTTGTAGGTCCCGCAATGATTCGCGGTTGATAATCGGGTTTCTGGCTTTCTCCTTGACGGCAGCAATCACCTGCTTTGCCCGACAGACATCGGGATTTGGCAGGTGACCCTGGTGCTCGCCAGTGGTCTCCAGAAATGTACAGATATATTATAACCAGTGTTGGGTAAAGTACATCTAAAAGGTACTTCAAGTAAAGTTCAAAGTGAATGAGACGTGATGTATTTTAAGTAAAGTATGAAGTACACTTGGTGCAACGTACTTGAAGTAAAGTACCATAAATACAATGTACTTTCAAGTAAAGTACAAGTATTTTAATACAATCTTTCATGATGCCCTTTCATTCCGCTATACAGTGATTTTTTAACTGCTATGCAATGCCCACGGATAATCAGGGGTGCATGACCTATTTTCAAAAACAGCGGCGAATATTTGATAAAGTCAAGTGGCCACAGAGTAGTTATTTTCAGGAACGGAGCCAAACTTCGAAGTCCCTCTTCTGAATTTGGCACCCTTTGCACTGGATCATTGCACCCAACACTCTAAGAAAAAAAGGGTGTAGTCGGGTGCATCGGGCGCACATGCACCCTTCTCCTAAAAGATGCACCCTGCGTTTCCCAGCCAGTGTACTTGTACACCGACAATGAGCATCCTCCTCTCCCTTAAAAACCTCTAGGTGTATCAGTGCACCCCCACGCTAGCCGCGCGTCCCGATCAGCTTGTGCTTGGATTTTCCTTTGGGGGTCACTTGTTGGGTTTGGCAGCTTCTTAGGAAGTATGGAGCTATCCCATTCACTCGGTATTGACAGTAGAGTGGGCGCTATGCTTGTTTTAGGCGAATTGGGTCTCCGGGTAGTATCACGTGACTATAGTCTCCAAGCTAGAGATAAGGCAGAGCACGGCACCTGCCTGAAGGCCAAGGCCACGGATAGCATCCACTGCACTATTAACTTTGCGTCGAACTTTCAAGAGGATATAAGTGAATAATCCTTTCGTTGTGTTCATTGTGGGGTTGCCCCTGAAGATAAGCCTTTGCGAGGGCACCCCCTTTTGGTCTTGAAGGAGCTGCAACTTTCATACTCCTTTCTTTTTTCTTTCTCTCCATAAGCTGAAAGCACGGAAGAAGGTAAAGGTTTCATGGATGACTTAGTATATATTTTTTTCTTTTTATCTCGGTGCTTCCCGGCCTAGAGTCTTGTGCGCTGTGCCGCGACCAGCGGGGCTGCCGTAGATTTCGTCCGCGACGATGTATTCGAGTGTGCCAAGATTTTTAGTGTTTGAGATGTCCTACGAGTATATCGGCAACAAGCGAGTTCTTCAGAAAAGCCCAAGGAATTCTTCTGATGAGTTTAGTGTTCGGTTCGGCGAACTACTGCTTCTGCTACATTGTGTTGGATCTTCACGGACCCCTTTCCTTTCGTTTTTGTGTTGTTCTGCAGTGCCCGGGTCGACATATATTTCGGATTACATATTTCGAGTCCGGCGTTTTCATCGTAAGTGCTCTGCAACCTACTCCTTTGCAACAATTGACAGTTCCGTTCCGGATTACTTCTAGAATTAAGCAGTGTCTATTTTCTAGCAGCCGGGAGAATAATTTCCCCGAAATTCTATGGCAGTCGCCTGCCATTAGCTGACTACAATCATGTTACAACCGCAGGTATAATACTGACTTTCTTATTCTCCTGGCGTTTTGTGAAAACACGTTTTTGCCGATACACGTTTTGTAGACACGTTTCATCGACACTACATCGCCATTCACACTCTTACGACTAAGTAAGACCGAGAGAGACCGACCGGCTTTTAAGCATTTGCGACTTCTTAGGACTGGATGCGATGCTGCCGAGCTGGTCCTAAGAGATCGCAAGAGGCTTAAAAACCGGTCTGGTATTTCTCAGTCGTACTCGGTCGCAAGAGAGTGAACGGGCCTTAACGTTTCATCGTCACTTGCTACGCAAAATGCACGCTGTAGAGACTTTTTGTCGCGCGTGTATCTCTGAGGCGCGTGCTCACCGACCCAGCCGACCCGTTCGCGCTACTTCGTGGCGACAGTCTGCGGCGGCTCATTACGAAAATGTTAGCCCACCTGTCCCACCCATACACGTCACTTCGCGGATACATTCTGGGGCGGCTCATTACAAGAAAATAAAGGAGAGAAGCTAATATAGAAAAGCTAATCTGAGCTGTCGACAAAACGTCGTTCGATGAATTAATGGCGACTGCCGGTGGAATTTTGTGGAAATAATTTTACCGGCTGCTGGCAGAATGGACACTACCTAAGACTCACCCCCGGTTCTTGTTTGCTTAGTAATCATTTCAGTTGTGTAAAAGCTTCTTTGTACGTCTTCAGATATGACAGATTGCTTGCAAGTTTGGACTTGTTTACGAAATAGGCCGTCTAATAAACTTCTATGAGATTTAAAAACAATACCGTGTGTCCGTTTTCCTGCCTTTTTGCAATCACCGGGGCGCATACATTTTTTACTGTTTTCCTTGATGTCTTAAATAGGTTTATGAAGTTATGAAACGGGTGCATAAAGTGCTGCGACCATGCACCTTTGAATCGGGTGCATCTGTGTTCTCTCCGAATTCAGTGAGTGTAGAAAGAGGTGTAACAGTACACTACTGAACGGGGTGCTCCTGTGTTCCCTTTGAGAGCAGTAGGTGTAGAAAGGGGGGTAATGGTACACTATTGAGTGGGGTGCATCTGTGTTCCCTTTGAGTGAGGCGGGTGTATGAAGCGGTGCAATGGTACACCATCGAATGGGGTGCATCTGTGCTCCCTTTCATCTCATTGGGTGTAGAAAGAGGTGTAGCCGTACACCATTGAATGGGGTGCACCTGTGTTCCCTTCGAGTGAGATTTCTGTAGAAAAGGGTGTACATGTGCACCACACCAACGGGTGTACACGTACTCCCATATTTGGGGTGCACTTGTATTCCCCCAAAGGGTGTAGTATATGTGACAAGCACTTACACCCCCTATGGGTGTACCCCATGACACCCTTTTTTTTTAAGGAAGTTAAATGTACTAGGAGAGAGTGTGACGTCAGCCCCGTAGCTTCCGCAAGCAATCCTCTTACAAAGAAGTGTCCTCTCCATAATGAAAACAAAAGAAACAGTGACTGTGCAAGCGAGCTGGTGATAATTAATCATAATGTGAAACCTGAGATTGGGGTGCGAAAAAATTCAGGAATTTTCAAGTCGAAGGAAAAGACAAAAAAGAATGTTTCAAAGCATTGTGACGTTCTCCTCCGTTGTCTTTTACTTCGACTTGGAAATTTAAATTTTCCGCATCACAGTCTCAGGTGCTCCATCATGATTAACTGTCCTCTCCTAATATTTTAAACCTCCTCACTTGCGCTGACCGACCGAGAAGTAGCGAGAGTATAAAAAGCTACGGGAACGGCGCGCCCCCAGATCAAACGGAGCGATGCGTCGACCTGTTCACCTTTCCGGTGGGAGTAGAATATCCCTCCCAGTATTTCTTCGGAGCTGACAAAGAATCATTTCGTGATAAAAATTTAACAAAAGCAAGTTCGGGGAATGTACTTTGAAATCGGGAATTTTACTTTCCTCGGAAGGTACCAGAAAAAAATGCTGTGAGTAAAGTACAAGTACATACTCAGAGAATGTACTTCAAGTAAAGTACAAGTTTCCTAAACCTAGTTGAAGTAGTACTTGTACTTAAATTAGTTCCCAACACTGATTATAACTATAATATAACTATAAAAAATGGCACACTGAACAGTGGCGTACCAACTTGTTTTTGAGTGGGGGGGCAAACCAGACCCTCTCCCCCCCCCCCACCCCCAAATCGAAAATTCGGCGCAACTTTTGTCCAACTTTTCTAAAGATTTGGCAATGATTCGGCAAAATTACAACGTTACCAGACTTAACATTAATATTTTGTTTTTTCTTACGAAAAAAATTTTGCTTCTTCTTAAAATAAATACAACTTGTAGTGCCTATTGAAACAGTTATGACTAAATAAGGTGATATTCTGGAAGATAATTGTATCGATGTCGCGTTTGTGTGTTTACTTGTAATTTTGGTGTATGCTTCCAGAAAGTGGCGTGACAACGAGGTTGGGTAGTAGCCGGCACAGTCACGAATCACACTACGAGAGCTTTGATTTTGAGGCTTCATCGGCGCACGCCTGCAAGTGTGTTTACATTGTTAAAATAAAGGCAATCACTGCGTTCTTACTTTCTCTGGTAGTCGCCGTTTCGTGCGCGAAAACGGATGCAACGGTTGCTGAGCCTTCACCAGAAGAGATAACAATATTGTAAATATGCATGTTTTTCGATTTGAGTCACTTGACGTCAGCTTTGCATGAAAGTGCGCGTTCCATATTCGCAACGTGCCGTTTTTAACCTTTAAAATTCCGGTTTCTGGTGTTCGGACACACACGGACGTTTAGGAAGATGGGGAGAGTTAGGAATGGTCGGATGTGCAACGTCGACCATGATAGTTCTGTGTTTAACGAATATTTTTCATCAGTGTTTACTAACGAGTGCTTGGACTCCGTCCCCACTCTCCCTGAAGAGCTTTACGAGCGCATGCATCCTATTAACGTTAACTCCGCCGGTATTATAACATTGATTGATAAACTAAAACTTACTTCGTCCGCTGGAACCGATAACATCAACTCTAAAATTTAAAAAAAACACCAGTGTTATTTCGAGTGAGTATTTAAAACTTATCTTTATTCAGTCCTTATCTCAAAGGTGCCTTCCATCTGACCAAAAGGTGGGAAGGGTAATTCCCAGTCTTTAAACAGGGCAGCCGCTCTTCCGAATCTAATTATCGCCCTAATTCATTGACTTCAATTTCTTGCAAACTACTTGAGCATATCGTCTACTCCAATATCATGAGGCACCTATCATCCCATTTCTTTTCTTTAAACAGCAGCACGGTTTTCAAAAAGGTACACTCTCCGGCAATATGAAAGACCCACTGGGAGCGCGTGGCCGAGGCGGTGGCTGGCGGGGGCGCTGCGAGCCCTCCGGGCAATTGCATTCTGCTTCGAGGGGAGGACGCTCACTCGGGCTCAGATAAAGCGAAACGCGCTTATCAGTTTGTGCCGAGTGCCGAATGAGCGTCCTCCCCTCGAAGCAGAATGGAACTGCCCGGAGCGCTCGCAGCGCCCCCACCAGCCACCGCCTCGGCCACGCGCTCCCAGTGGGTCTTTCATATCGCCGGAGACTGTACTTTCCTGCGAAACACAACTCTGCGACTTCATCCATGACTTGCACACTAACCTTGAACCTTGAACCTTGAAATAAAGAAACTGACGCAGTTTTTTTTTTTTTTTTTTTTTCCAAAGCGTTCGGCCGTGTTTTTTATCAACGCCTTCTTTCTAAGCTATCATCTTTTTGCCTCGACCAAATAACCGTTTGCATAGATTCGTGATTTTCTTTTTTCCCGTGTACAGGTCACGTCCATGATGATCATGAATCTTCCTTAATAAATGTATCTCCTGGTGTTCCCCTGGGGTTCGTACTTGGGCCCTTACTCTTTTTAATATTTATTAATGACATCCCCATTGGGATTTTTTCAAAAGACCGCTTTTTCGCCGACGACTGCGTCATCCATAACAAAGTAACTTGTGTGCAAAATAATAACCAGCTTCAGGAAGATCTAGAGAAAATTAACAATTGGTGCAAAAGAGTGGATTATGTCATTAAACAAGTATAAACGCAAACTAATCCACTTCACCAAAAAAAAAAAAACACTGTCATTTAATTACTTCTTGTACTCCGATCTGATTGAGACCGCTACTGTGTATAAATACCTTGGTGTAAGACTAACATCTGACCTTCCCTAAAATAACCACATTGAAGTCATTACTGCCGATTCATCTGGAACTCTTGGACTAAGCAGACGTAACTTAAAAAGGGCTCCACCCTTTGTTCGTAAGCTAACCTTGGACACGTACGTCAGACCAAAAATAGAATATGCTTCAACCATCTGGAATACCCATCGACTGTACCTCATCAATACCCTGTAGAGGCAGTTCAGAACAGAGCTGCTCGCTTCATTTCATCCACTTATGACTTTTTTTTTTCAGTGTCTCAGCGCTAAAAACTGAACTAACCATGTCCTCTTTGCAGCTTCGCAGAAAAGTCTCTCAGCTGTGCTTTATTCACAAAATCTACTACCACATTCCCGACCTCAAAACCACTTTGTTATTACCCCCCGACCGAACATCTTCTCGCCTCAACAACGTCTGCACCATCAAGCACATTTCTGACTCTACTAACGCTTTCAATTGGTAATTCCTTTCTCAAGCCATCAGACACTGGAACAGTCCCCCATCCTCCATTGTCACCATCTTGGACCCTGCTGATTTCTCCTCTGCAGTAAAACTACACCTTTCTTGGCCCATGTGATGGTGTGCGGGGCTAGGCAGATAGGTGAAAACCCTTACGCAGAGCGCCTGCCGGGCCAGACTTGTACGTAGTTCAACTACTTTACTCAAGTTACTGTAGTTTAACTACTTTTCTGGGTAGTTTAGTAACTTTAATTACATTTATATTCTAGTAATTCGTAGTTTACTTTAACTACTTTTCCGAGTGACTTCCACTCAAATTACAAATTACTTTCTAATTTTAGTGGTTGTTTTGCCTATCAACACAGAAAAGATGACGGAAGGTCAGCTGGTATTTGCAGAGGGGGAAGCATGCGGAGTAGAAAAGGGGGGGATGGGAAGGAAGAAAGTGATTTAGATAGTCCAAAAAACCCCAAAATTTTAACGAGCCCCCCCACTGCAACAACACTGCTACGAGGCGCGGGGAGCGAACAGACACGACGCAAGAGAGGTCGAGTAACTGTGGGATTAGCTCCGAATAGTGGCGTTTCTTTGTATTCCGAAGCTCAAGAAGACTTGACGCATTTGAAGAAAGGGCTTGTCCCCGCTTCTTTCCAATGTAGGAATTCTTGCCCACTACAGGAGGTGCACACACTGCTCCTTTTACGGTGCAGGCGATAGAACCCCTAACAACGACGCTCACGCCGGATGGGCTGCTCGTGTATCACTCGAAGCGCGTTAACCCACCCCGGCGCCTGCGTTCACGCCGCTTCGCGGTGACGGTGTGCGGCTGCTAATTACAAATCTATTAACCCACCTAGCCCCCCCACCCCCCGTACACGCCGCTTTGCGGCGTCCGGTCGGCAACCCAAGCCCCGCTGCCGCCCATGCACTTCCGTAAATAGAGTCGATACGATTTAGTTTAGCGATGTTTCGTCAACAACATTCGTTTTTTTAGTGTTAATGGTAAAAAAGAAATGTAAATATCGCCAAATGCCTCGACAAAACAAAATGTTCAAGAAAAAAAAGAAAAAGAAGTAAGCCGGCCCACACCATAAATAGAACCCGGGTCTGACACGTATGAGGCAGACATCTCACCACTAAGTTACGCTACCTCTTCGGAAACTCGCATTGCATCCGCTGCCTATGTTGACGGCGGCAGCGCCTATCTCCAAGCAAGCAAGCAAAACTTTATTTTGTGTAAGGGCCTACGTCCTGGTCTGGACGGCCCGTCCGGCCCATGTCTCGCGGATGGACTCCGTTAGGTTACCGTGTAGCCTTGTTCGTGAAGCAAGGCTCCACAAACCAGCCAATCCGGCGTGCGTGAGCACCGTTGCTAGGGTTTGTATCGCCTGCGCGTTAAAAATATGCCCGCGCGGGTCGGGGGCAGTGCCCTTGGTATTCCTTGGGCGCCGCCGGCCTGTGTCTGCTCTGCCCAGTGGCGGCCGTTTCAGGGGGGGCAAAACGCATGCCTTGCCCCCCCACTCTGAGAACTGGGGGGGCAAGTGCCCCCATTGCCCCCCCGGTTGGTACGCCCATGACACTGAAGGTGACTCGGAGCTATCGGGAGTACAACAACGTACGTAATAGCTCAATTGGGAATGAAAGGAAAACTCGAACCAAAACATAATAGTACGGAGCCCGACGTACGGAGCCCGACGGAGCCTAACCAGGTGGATGTCCACCGAAGAGTTTACGTTTACCTCAATTGTATTATTGAGTTCTGGGAAGGGAAAAATTCCCGAGACAGAAGTTAAATTTTAAGGTACAATAACTGTTGGCTTACGTTGACGAGGGTCAGTTCACTGTAGCACCCGGCGGTCGTGGCTCGACCCTTGCAGTCTTTCTTAGAGCACCTCCATGTCATCTGTCCTTGTTCAGTCTATCCAGGCGATAAGAATAACCCTTGTGTTGCAAAATCGGATTTTTTTTTTTTTTTTTTTTTAATTATGGAGAATTCCACTGGTATATCCGGAGCACTTTCCAAAATCCGCGAGGGGGGCCAAATTCCGCTCCGCAAAACCCGCACCAAATCGACGAGCGGAAGGTGGACATGCATTTTCGGAGTGACCCACCGATTCGCCCGAAACGGTCGACCATTCAAAATGGCCGCTGCTCGGACTTGACAAGCCGACCGACGCCTCAGCCGACTGAGCTTTCCGGCGACCAGTCACAACTGTCACTGTTTAGCTACAGAAATAACACGCGAGGCAGGCCGGGCGGAAATGTCCATACCGTGGAGCCCGTATCGCAAATAAGGAGGAAGACGTCCGCGTTCCCCACCGTCAAATACCTTTCGGCCGCCTCGAAGCGGCGGGGCACGCGCAGTGATCGCCATCGGTGGAGTTCAGATTGCTGGTAAGACTTGAATAAACACAAAGGGGTAACAAACCATCACTTGCACGGTCCTTGCCTAATCTGTTGCTTATTGCACGAGAAAATGCCGGCGGCATGCTGTGTAAAAAAGTAAACAATCATTGACTGCAGAATGAACAGGCATAACATTGCGTCCGCTTCGGATTTTCTGTCGTTCTTTTTCTCGTTCTTCCTCTCACGATCACAAATGTCAACACTTACGAATTACCACGCTCCAGTCCCGCGGCTTTGTATCCCTGATCTACGCGAGGTAGAAGAGTTCGAGCCGTCACAATCCCGCGTAAACGACCGACGGATCCGAACAGATCCAACTCGACGGCCCGACCGGTCCGGAGACCTCGCCAACCTCGCCGCGCATGCACATTGCCGAGTTAGAAGGAAATGACGTAGTGCGCTCTGTCAACTTCCGCAAAGATCTCTGAAATCTTGCGCAGCAAGTTCGGCGGGGTCGGAGGCGCTCCATGGAGCGGGCGCTGCCAGAGATCTACGAGCGGAAGATGACCAACTCGAGCCAGATCTGCGAGCGGAAGATGACCAACTCGAGCCAGATCTGCGAGCGGAATGTGCTTCGGGATTCATAGCATTTCAAAGGCCTGAAGAGCGCTCCGGTGGAAGATCCGACTTTGCCGTCATCAACGCCCGCAGTGCCCAACTGCCCATCTATGTTCGCCTTCACACCACAATTGGCGGTTGACCCAAACTTAGATTTCCTTATTTGTGGGCTTAAGGAGACAAATAGCAAAGGAGTTCAGACCGCAGGCTTTTAAACCAATAACGACTTGTGTTCTTGGCGGATATGTCCTCTGTTACGTATGAACAAAAGCCGACCTACATGGAACCTATTCATTGCGTTTGTATCCGCCCTTTAGCGCCCTCGGGGTTGCAACTTCCAAGGTCAGCATTTTTTTGTGCGATTCTGGGGATCTTGCCCGCGCTTCAGAGACGTTTCCGGAAGAGTCTGTCAGACGGTTGGCCAGTACCAGAGTAAAATTCTAAAACTGCCCATTTGTTGTATCCTTTGATATAACCACAAACGCTGCGGTTCCCGGTTTCGAAACAAAAACCACGACGTGACTCTTGACTAAGGATTCAGGCGATACTCAGAAAAAGAACCCCGAACAAAGGTAGTTCACTGTATCTCTAGAACCAGTGATTTCCCTACACCCACCCCCCCCCCCCCCCCCTTCTAGGAAGGGTGTACATCCCCCCCTTCTTTTCCTGAAGGCAGTCCCTTAATTCGCAACGACTCCTCTATTCTTAATGCCCCCCCCCCAACCCGTAAAAATTAAGACCCCCCCCCCCCCCTAATTTCAATTCGTGGGGAGATTCCTGTCCAGAATTCCGTCCCAACTTTCTGTGTGCGTCATCGGAAATTTCGGGTTACACCTGAACGTCATACCCGCATTTCAGAGAAGCGTCGCAAAGGGTGTCGTCTCCAAGAGTTGTCTTTTCTTCGTTGAAGTTTTGTGTAACAGAGGTCGTCGCTTCATTTTTCACTTAAGTTATTTTCAAGTTTTCCTGTGAAAAGAAGTAGTCCCTTGTTCAGAGATAAGTGGGAAGAGAAAGGGAGCTCAAAGCTCACGTTGAATTTAAAAAAAAAAAAAAAAAAAAAAAACGTTTTTAAGAACTGCGTTACGTTTTTTAGTGGCAAACTTTATTGAGACGTTTTTACGTTATCGTCCAAATTCACCATTGTGATAATAACTCAAGTTTGTTGTAATTCAATTGACGATTTTAGATCATAGCCAGCTCGTAAGCTTTGTTCTTCCTGCTTTCCGGTTTAAAGGGGCCCTGCAACGACTTTTTGACTGGTTTTTAATTTGCACTGAACCTGAGCGCACTGAACATAGCAACTTAGTGAAACTTCTCTTTTCTCTAATTTCGCTTTATTTGGAAACAAGCAAAAAATAACCTCCTTCATGACGTCCCCGGTCCTGGCTTGGGTGGCCGTGAACTAGACGAGCGGTAGTGAGCTCAGCGAGCGCTCACAACTACCGCACTCCGTGTCGATGGCTGGGGAGAGCGCCACTAAAGCATGGGTTGGATAGGCTGCGTGAAGCGGGAGGCCAGAATGGCTCGCATTGCGTTTGATACGCTATTAAACACTAATTCGCATGACACTTCATTGGCCATAACCGATAGCAAACACGGGATAAAGATTAGTTCAGGACGGGAGCTACTTCGCGCGGCCAAACCGCCAAACGGCCAAACCGCAAGCCAAACCTGCTCGCCGAAGGCCTTGGGAACGCTCGGAACCGGTCGGATCATCCAGCCCATACGACCACAGCGCCGCCGCGTACATCCGGGACCTTTCTACGCTCGCCACTTCTCAGCAATGCGTGGCGCGCGTTCGGCGCCTGATCCCACTACTTCTTTCTAGTTTCCGCCGTCTTTTCCACCGCTTGGTGGCGGGTATGTCGACGGGTCAAACAAAACAGCACAATCAGACATTGGATATATTAACATGCAGGGTGGTAGAAATAGGTTAAAATGGGAAGAGGTAGAGGAGCAACTAAGAAAGGAGGATTTAATGGTGTATGGGTTTGTGGAAACACATCTCAGAGACATGGAGCAGCCACCTTGCAACCCTGACTATGTGTGGGAAGAATGCAACAGAATGGAGGGAACGAGGAAGGGAGGTGGAATTGGAGCATTTATTAAGAAGAATATGAACTTTCAAAGGATCAGAAAGGAGTGCGCCGAACATTTGTGGCTGAAAGGAAAAGTCGCTGGGGAATCAACAGTCCTTGGGGTGGTTTACTTATGGACAGGGACAGGTGCTAAAGAGGAAAACAGAAAAATGATTGATTGCATATCAAGAGACATTAGTGAACTAGGGGAAGGCTCCGAAATAATTATTATGGGAGACATGAATGCCCATATTGAGGGTCTGGATGGGTGTACGGACTCAACTGGAAGCATATTACTAGAACTGGTGGAAAAACATGACATAGTTTTATGTAATACCAGTCAGAAGTGTGACGGGCACATAACTTGGGAAACTGGCAATCTGCATTCAACTATAGATTACGTACTCATGTCACACAAAATATATGGTAAGTTACAAGTAATGAAAATAGATGAAGAAGGTTCCAAAAGTCTTGGTAGTGATCACAAACGTATTAAGCTGAATTTTGCCAGAAGAAGAAACTAGACAACATAATTCAAAGCAAACTTTCTGCAGCGACAAAGAGTTGGAAATAGTTGTTGAAAGAGTAGAGGCAGCAGTTTCAGGGCAACGGCATACAGATTGGACCTATGAGAGCCTAACTAGGCTTTTTGCTCTAGAACTAGACAAAGTTAAGAGTAAACGAAAGGGGAAGCAAGGACATAGACCAAAAAGTTGGTGGGACAAAGAAGTGAAGCAGGCGATACAAAAACGTCAGGAAGCCTCTAGAGAACACAGGTATTCCAAGCGTAGTGGGGAGTCCGAAACGGAAGTAAAAAGAAAATGGGACAATTTTATAACATGTCGCCGAGAGGCATCCAGTTTGATCAATGCGAAAATTCAGAGAAAGGGTGAGGAATGGATGAGTAATGTAAGTAAGAAAGATAGAAACGCTGCCAAGAAGTTTTGGGAGCACTTGAACTCACTCGGTGAAACAACGCAAGCTAGACAGAGGTTCATACTCTCGCATCAGGGAGATCAATTAGAGGGAGATAATGCGATACAATATATAGGAGCAGTGATGGAGGAGAAATTTCGGGAACGGGTACATGTGGAAGATAGGAGAAAAGAAGGAAGTAGCAGTCTAGTTTGTGACATCGCGGATTTTGGACAAAGAGAATGGGAAAAGGCGGAACGAAGAGTCCCTAGTGGCACTTCGACAGGCACAGATGGTATCCCTATAAAGCTGGTGAAGAATTTGGGTCCTAAATCTAAGGCAAAACTAAGGGAGGTAGTGAGTACCATGATAACAAAAGGAAATATTCCAGATGAATGGAGGCTTAGTAGGATGAGTATGATATATAAGGGAAAGGGAGATAAGTCTGATATTAGGAATTATCGTCCTATAACCGTGACACCGGTTATTTACAGGTTGGTAATGCAGATTATAAAGAACAGACTGGAGGGATGGGTAGATTGCGAGGGCATACTGGGCGAGTTACAGAACGGGTTTCGAAAACAAAGAAGGTTGGAGGACAATTTATTTTCTCTAACACAGTGTATAGAAATAGCGCAAAAAGAAAACAGACAGCTCTGGCTGGCATTTCTGGATATCAAGGGTGCCTATGACAATGTGAACCAAAGAAACCTGTGGGACATAATGGAGAACTTAAACCTAGATGAAGGACTAACAGCACTATTAAGGAACATTTACAAAGATAACAAGGTGATTATAACATGGGAAGGAAAGGCGACAGGGAAAATAGAGATAAGACGAGGCCTTAGGCAGGGGTGCCCGTTATCGCCTTTGCTGTTTATGTTGTATCTGAGAGGATTGGAGGATAGACTAGAGAAGAGTGGGCTTGGGTTCAACCTTTCTTACAGTAAGCTAGGCCAAAAAATTCAGCAATCCTTACCGGGATTGATGTATGCGGATGATATTGTACTAATGGCTAACAACAGGACAGAGTTGCAGGAATTAATGAGCATCTGTGGTAGGAAAGGAGAGGAATTAGGTTTAGAATTCAGTAGCGAAAAATCGGCAGTCATGATTTTTAACGAGGATGAAGTTGAGAGGCTGAAGATACAGAATATTACAGTTGAGAGAGCTAGTAAATACAAGTATCTAGGAGTATGGATATCTGATGGTGCAGAATATCTCAGAGACCATGAAAAGTATATAGTAGGTAAGGGCAACAGAAATGCAGCTGTAATGAAAAATAGAGCACTTTGGAATTACAACAGCTATGAGGTGGTGAGAGAGATTTGGAAAGGGGTCATGGTGCCTGGCTTGACTTTTGGAAACGCAGTGCTATGCATGAAATCCGAAGTGCATGCGAGACTAGAAATAAAACTGCGCGGAGTAGGTAGACTGGCTTTGGGGGCACATTGCAAAACGCCAAACCAGGGAGTACAAGGAGGCATGGGATGGGCATCATTTGAGAGCAGGAAAGCGGTGAGCAAGGTAGAATTTGAGGATAGGTTGAGGCAAATGGACGGGGAGCAATGGGCACGAAAGGTTTTCAGCTATTTATACATGAGGAGTGTAGACACAAAGTGGAGACAGCGCACTAGGAAATTAAGAGGAAAGTTTTTGGGTTATAGCGAAGATACGGAAGAGCAAGTCTCAGTTAAGAAGAAAGTTAAGGCCACAGAAAGAGATCGGTGGCTAGA